CTCTCTTCCTCCCTCCCTGTCTCCCTCCCTCCCTCTTTCCCTGCCGCTCCCTCTCCCCCTGTAACTCCAACTTTCAAATAAATAAATAAATCTTCAAAAAAAAAAAAAAAACACAAAAGCTCAACGTCTTCCCAACATGAACTTCAAAAAGCAACTTCTCCCATGCCGTAAGGTCAAGTTCTGCATGATCCCATTGCCGGCATGTCTTCTTTGGCACTTACACAGTATGGCCAAGGAGGATCTCGGAGTAAAAACAGTCCATGTCGGTGGTTAGGGTTCTGTTTTTGTTTTAGTCCCTTGTATCCAGCATAAAATCCTTTCAAACGTGACTGACAGTGTGAATCTCTATAAGATGGCAGACTGCTCTGTCTGTTCAATGCCATTGTGCAAAGAATGAAATGTTCAGAAACTACCTAATCCACAAGCTTTTTAATTCCATAAAATATAGCTGAAATTAAATGCTACTTTTTTAAAATTAAGTAGTGAACAGCCTGGTTAAATTCAAAGCTTTTGATGTATAAAACTTTATAAATGGAACTATTTTGTCAGTAGGCAAAATGTAACAAAAACCTGTCTAGATGGATAGTATGTATTTTCTGCACAGATCTCTGTTTAGAAAATATATCAGTCTTTGCCAGGCAGGAAGATTGCTCTAATAAACAAAAATAAAAATTTTATGGATAAGCCAAAATTTTTAAAAAGCATCTTTTCAGCTAATATCTATCTCTCCCTACAAATAATTCTGTTTTTTAAAGATTTATTTATTTATTTTAAAGTCAGAGTTACACAGAGAGAGAAGGAGAGGCAGAGAGAAAGAGAGAGGTCTTCCACCCACTGGTTCACTCCCCAATGGCTGCAATGGTCGGAGCTACACCTATCCAAAGCCAGGGCCAGGAGCTTCTTCCGGGTCTCCCACACAAGTGCAAGGGCCCAAGGACTTGGCCGTCTTCTACTGCTTTCCCAGGCCGTAGCAGAGAGCTGGATCAGAAGAGGAGCAGGGGCCAGAGCTGTGGCATAGCGGGTAAAGCCATAGCCTGCAGTGCTGTATCCCATATGGGCGCCCTGGCTGCTCAAGTTCCAATCCCGCTCTCTGCTATGGCCTGGAAAAGCAGCAGAAGATGGCCCAAAGCCTTGGGCCCCTCCACCCACGTGGGAAGGCCCGGAAGAAGCTCCTGGCTCCTGGCTTCGGATCAGCGCAGCTCTGACCGTTGCGGCCAACTGGGAAGTGAACCAGCGGGTGGAAGACCACTCTCTGCCTTTCCTCTCTCTCTCTGTAACTCTGGCTTTCAAATAAATACGTAAATCTTATAAAAAAGAAGAAGAAGAATTTGAGCAGCCGGGATTTGAACCAGTGCCCATATGGGATGCTGGCACTGCAAGCAGAGGCTTTATGCCCTATGCCACAGCACTGGCCCCCTACAAGTAATTCTTTATGTAAGCTTTAGAAGGTAAAAACCTTCCATATCATTTCACCAGCTTGGAACTTAGCAAAATCTTCAAACCTGAGCTTTGCCATCAAGGACCAAACAAACCTCTGATGCTACACATTCAGCAACTGATATGTCCAACTTTAGGAGTAAAAGGAAATAGAATGACAATGGATAGAAATAGGAGATGGGAGGAGACAAAAATAGGGAAAAAATGAGTATGTAGTTTTCAGCTCTGTAGTATATAAACCAGAAATTGCTGTGTGTGTCAAAGAGTAAGTAAACCTACTAATAATAACATTGAGCATTTATTTAGTCCTAATGATGTGCAAGTTCCATTCTCACCATACCCAAGGATGATACATTATCCCCATTGTACAGTGGAGAAGGCAGTCATAAAGACAGTAGGTAATTTGCTTAAGGCCACAAACATATTAAGCAGTAGAGCAAGAATTTAACCTCAAGCCTCTATACCAGAGTACCATTCCACACCATCAGTTTCGAATCTCATCATGAGAGTATTAGTTTCTAATGTCGATTAGTCTGATGCTTTTTTCGAAAGGCAATTAGGAGGAGAGAGAAATAGAGAGAGAGAATATCTTCCATCTACTGGTTCACTTCCCAGATGGCCACAATGGCTGGGGCTGGGCCAGGCTGAACCAGGAGCCTGGAGCTTCATCTAGGTCTCCCACGTGAGTGGCAAGAGCCCAAGCACTTGGACCATATTCTGCTGCCTATCCCAGGCCTTTAGCAGGAAGCTGGATCAGAAGTGGAGCAGCTGGGTCTCAAAGCAGCACCCATATGGGATGCCAGTGTTGCAAACAGAGGCTTAACCTGTTTTACCGCAACGCCAGCCCCAAGTTTGATTTTTTATTCTCTTGTGGGTAATTCTCTGCCCTGAACTGTGCCTTTTCTTACAGATGATAACAAAGTTTTTCAGAACAGATTACTAACAGGTTTGAAGTCTTTCAAAGGTGAGTAATAAGTGTTATAAGAAAATATATAAAATTGAAATTCTCATTCTTTATTTTTCTTTTTCCTTAGTTATTAGGTCATGATTCTTCCACCATCCTTTCTACATATTGATATGGTCTTGTGTGTGTGCTGTGTAAAATGTCTTAGAATCAGACTCAAAGGAACTAGTCCCAAATATCTCCATAGGTGTCATTCTCTGTGTACTCTTGGATACGTCTGATTAAAATTTTGAACTTCATGATGCAAAATTAATCATAATAATTAGCTTTATTAGTTTTTTGATATAAAATATATCACATACCCATTAAATAAAATATCCAAGTTTTTTAAAATAACCATTCATAGTCCTACTATCCAGTCATAACTACTGTTAATGTTTCTAATTATATAATTAAAATACTCTGAATTTCTCTGAAATCACCTTGGGAGATTATATAAAAGACAGGAACATACTAGTTTCTCCGGTGACAGAATCCACAATTCTGCCAGTAGCTGAGCTATTAGATGAAGAAGTTGACTTGAACAAGAGCCATGATATACAAAAGCATATCTAATCCTAGGATCACACTGAGTCGAGATGCTCACAGTGCAACATGTATATGGAGAATTAATCCAGGTATTGGAGTAATAAATTGATGTTGTCAATCTCAGGTTCACTCTCTTCATGTACTGGCTGTCTGTTGAATGTCAAGGAGAACCACTGCCATCACTTATATTGTTCATTTATGTCTGTTTTTACTAAACATATGCTTTTAATTCTTATAGATTAATGATGATATAACTCTGTCCCATAAAAACATTTTTAAAACCCATCTTTTGGAAAGGCTATAGTTTTGTAATTCTCTATGGAATAAAATACATTAAATTACTTAACATTACCTTATAATGACATATTTTAATTTGGGGGATTTTTCTTTTTATTTTCTTTCCATTTTTATTTATTATAAATAAGATCATAATGAACACTTTCTCCCACACCTTTGTTGTAAGCTTTTTCTTAAAAATTAGAATTGATGGACTGAGTTATAAACATTTGAAAGGATCACAATAGTTAATTACCAAACCACTTTCCAGTGGTGATGATTCCAGTTAACTCTTACTGACAACCAGGTCTATTAAAAGTTAATTTTTTATTATAAGATGTATTTTTCACATTGTGTTTTTTTTTACTGTCTTTCTCTTTCCTAAGGAGGAAGGGTTGATGTCAATAAGTTGAAAAACATTCTAAGGAACATGGGAATCAAACTCAAAAATAAGGAACTTAAAAATATAATACGAAATCAGTTTATTGATGGTAAGACTTGGAAATAACTATTTTGCCTGTGTGGAAGAGCTTAGAATCTTGGGATCATGACTAGAATTTCTGAAACTAGATTAATCTGAGGATCTTAAGACATTTTTCATTGTAAATTGAAAATGCAAAAAAGAACTTGTCCTGAAAGTAAGAAATCCTGTCTTTTATCATTTTTGTTCATCTGAAGTTATCCTACTCAGCTCTCACAATGTTGAGAGTACATTCATAACTGTTAGCAGGCAAGAGAATGGGTAGAAGAAACAAATATGAGAACAAGAAGTAAAATGAATGAATGAACAGCAAAGGTAGCCCAAAATGACTGAGGAAAATACCCATATCAGAGGGTGTAGAGCCTCATTAATACCTTCTTTAGTGTCTAACAACTGTATGTCATTACCACTTTGGGATACAAATGGAAGTTGACAACATCAGAGGAAACCATATTGGGGATAGATGGAAGATATGAAGCTCCTCGACCAGTATCTGTATTAGATGTAAGGTTCAAAAAATATATTATGAATATATTTCACCATGCTTATCTGAAGGCTCAATAACTAGAGATATTTATCATAGTCAATCCTGTGTCTAAGGGACACAGGTTGAAATTCATTGTCCTTTTTCATAAGGAGGAATCAAGCACTCAAGTCAGGAAGTATAAATTTAAGATGAAAACAAATAATTTAGTAAAATACATAGACTTTCACTAGACCTTAGCTTTGCAATTTAAGTTCTATGTCAATGTCCAAATTGTTTATGCTTTGAATTGCAGCTAATGGATACATTTCTCTGAAGAAGGTGATTGATGATGTGGAAGCAGTTACAGGCAAGTTAAAAGTTATGTGAAGTTTAAAATCCTAATTCTTTATGATGTTTTCTCATCTTGTCTTTTTCAGTTAATGTATAAATTCATGGGTATAGTACTAATACTCATGAATCCATCAATCTGTAAAATAACTAGACTTTCCAGTATCAGTACATCAAGCCATGATTATTTCCTGTCTCATCTCTACCTCTTTGCTCTGAGCTAATACTATCTTGAATTTTGTACTGCTTATTATTGATATTGATATTCTATCTCTTTTGGATTTTAGTCATTCTTACAGGGGTGAGGTGATTATATCATTGTGGTTTAGATTTGCATTTAGCCGATAACTAGTGATATTGAGTATTTTTTCATATATTTGTTGGCCATTTGTATTTCTTTTTTTCTTTTTTTTTTTTTTTTTTGACAGGCAGAGTGGACAGTGAGAGACAGAGAGAAAGGTCTTCCTTTTGCTGTTGGTTCACCCTCCAATGACCGCCACAGCCGGCGCACCGCGCTGAGCCAATGGCAGGAGCCAGGTACTTATCCTGGTCTCCCATGGGGTGCAGAGCCCAAGCACTTGGGCCATCCTCCACTGCACTCCCGGGCCGCAGCAGAGAGATGGCCTGGAAGGGGGGCAACCAGGACAGAATCCGGCGCCCCGACCGGGACTAGAACCCGGTGTGCCGGCACCGCAAGGCAGAGGATTAGCCTAGTGAGCCGCGGTGCCGGCCTGTATTTCTTCTTTAATGAACTATCTATTAAGGTTCTTTGCTCATTTCTTGATTGGGTTTTTTGTTGTTGAATTTTTTTAAGTTGCTGATACATTCTGGATATTAATCATTTGTTGTATAAGTAGCTCATAAATATTTTCCCCATTCTGTTGGATAATTCTTCATTCTTAATCATTTCCTATGCTGTGTAGAAACTTCTGATTTTGATTTAATCCCATTGGCCTAGTTTTGCTTTCGTTGCTGGTGTTTTGGAAGTCTTATCCAAGAAGTCATCACCTACAACAATATCTTGGAGCATTTCCTCGGCATTTTATTCTAGCAACTTCATAGCCTTAGGTCTTAAATTTATATCTTTGATCCATCTTGAGTTGATTTTTGTAGATGGTGAGAGGTAGAGATCTAATTTCATCCTTCTACATATATACATCTTGTGGGGAGCAACTCGGACTAGACTAAGTTACTGGAATTAAGACTTATTCTATGCACCTGCTCTCCCACAATATGGTGCTGGGAGAGGAGAAAACAGCTTCTATGCAGATGCCTCTTGCCAACTTGAGTGATGACCTCCAGGAGCTGATCCTGCTCCTGATTGGAGGAGAGCAGCGTACTCGGCATGTGGGCAGCAGAGTTGGGATTGGTGGAAGAGGACTATAAAGGAGGAGAGAGACAACATGCACCAGGAACATCTAAGGGGAACATCTATCTGAAGGAACACCTGTGCAGCCCCCGAGAGAGCCGGCCGGCGGTGTGCCGCTCCCCCGCGGAAGTGGGGAAAGTGGCCAGGGGGCACTGCCCTTCCACGGAGGTGGAAGGGTCGGTAGCCAACCCGGGAAGAACCAGCAGCAAACCCGGGGAGGGCCGAGCAGACGAAAGAACAGCGCGGGGTCCTGTGTCGTTCCTCCATGAAGAGGGGGAGCGACATAATGGTGCCGTGACTCGGATAGGAAACCTAGGACGGATAGAAAACCTAGGAGGGAAGAAACAGGAAGAAGTGGGAAAGTACTGGAGAGAGAGACTAGCAAAGAGCCTAGGGGAAAGCCGGACGGAAAAGGTGCCGGAAGAAGCTATCGAAAGCCTAGGCATAGACTTGGATACGGACTGTGGGAAAGAAGTTAAGATTTAAAGTTAAAGCAAGAAGAAACTTAGACTCAGATACGGACTGTGGGGAGAAGCCAGGAGAAATGAGGGAGGAATATTGTTGGAAGAAAACTTAGGGAAACATACCGGGTAGAGAAAAATGTTAGGGAGGATGAAGCCGCAAGTGCAGGCCGAGGCGGAGACGTAAGCTATGTTGGAATTCTTCAAGTCAGCCCGGGGAGCAAGAGGTGAAGATCTGGAACCAGAGGCAGAGACGTGGGCCGCCAGGTTGGAATTCGCCAGGTTAGTCCGGGGAACTTGGATTGAATACCAGTGGCGGAAACGTGAGCTACGCTGTGTGATTCGCGGAAGCCGCCGCGTGCAGAGAGGGCACGGGGCGTGAATAGATAGGGAACGCGGGGCTGGCGCGAGGCCGTGGTGCGGGCGCGAAGTGCGTGGAGACCGCGGAGTGTGCGCGCGAAGCCGAGCCGCGCAGAGCCGGGAAGCCGCGCAGATGAGAGAAGCGCGGGCTGAAGCGGCGCAAAGCCGGGAAGCCACTGCGGGGCGGTGAGGTGCCGAGAAGCAGCCTCGGGGCGCACGAAGCCGGGAAGCCACGCAGATGAGAGAAGCATGGGCTGAAGCGGCTCAGAGCCAGGAAGCACCGAGAAGCAGCCTCGGTGTGGGCGCCGGGAAGCCGCAGGGATAAGAGAAACAGAAGTTTAGAAGTAAAATGAGAGAAATAGGAATGCTGGTAGATAGAAGTAAAATGGGAGAGATAGGAATGCCCGGAGATAGAGAAATAGAGAAAAATAAGGCCTCCCCTCAACATGGCAATGAGAGAGCTTGGATTCGGTCTGCCTGATTAGGGAGGTGGTGAGCACCTGCGGGCGGCTAGCAGCTTATGCGCCGCAGGTCACCGAAGACAGGCACGAATTAACATCAATAAGTCTCCCCACAATACGGCAATGAGAAGGCTTGGATTCGGTCTGCCTGATTAATAAGGCGATAAGCACCAGTAGGCAGCTCGACCAGAGTATGAGCTGCAGGTCACCGAAGATAGGCAAGAATCAATACCAATAAGTCTCCCCACAATACGGCAATGAGAAGGCTTGGATTCGGTTTACCTGATTGGTAGGGCTTGTAAGCACCTGCAGGCAGTTCTAGCAGAGCAGAGCATGCGCTGCAGGGCACCAAACTCAGGCACGCATCAGCGCCTAAAAACCTCCTCACAACATGGCGAAGAGAGGACCCGGATTCGGTTTGCCTGATTGGTAGGGCTTGTAAGCACCTGTGGGCAACTCTAGCAAGCAGAGCAGAGTGTGTACCGTGGGGCACCGAAGACAGGCGCATATCAACGCCAAAAAATAAAAAGAAAGGGGGATCTGTGGGGAGCAACTCGGACTAGACTAAGTTACTGGAATTAAGACTTATTCTAGGCCGGCGCCGCAGCTCACTAGGCTAATCCTCCGCCTAGCGGCGCCGGCACACCGGGTTCTAGTCCCGGTCGGGGCGCCGGATTCTGTCCCGGTTGCCCCTCTTCCAGGCCAGCCCTCTGCTGTGGCCCGGGAGTGCAGTGGAGGATGGCCCAGGTGCTTGGGCCCTGCACCCCATGGGAGACCAGGAAAAGCACCTGGCTCCTGGCTCCTGCCATCGGATCGGTGCGGTGCGCCGGCCGCAGCGCGCCGGCCGCAGCGGCCATTGGAGGGTGAACCAACGGCAAAGGAAGACCTTTCTCTCTGTCTCTCTCTCTCACTGTCCACTCTGCCTGTCAAAAAAAAAAAAAAGACTTATTCTATGCATCTGTTCTCCCACAATATGGCGCTGAGAAGGGAGAAGCAGCTTCTACACAGCTGCCTCCAGTTCAACCAATAAACTGTAGGACCTACTCCTGATTGGAGGAGAGCAGCGTACTCGCCATTGGGCAGCAGAGTTGGGATTGGTGGAAGAGGACTATAAAGGAGGAGAGAGACAACATGCACCAGGAACATCTAAGGGGAACATCTATCTGAAGGAACACCTGTGCAGCCCCCGAGAGAGCCGGCCGGCGGTGTGCCGCTCCCCTGCGGAAGTGGGGAATGTGGCAGGGGGAACCGCCCTTCCACGGAGGTGGAAGGGTCGGTAGCCAACCCGGGAAGAACCAGCAGCAAACCCAGGAAGGGCCGAGCAGACGAAAGAACAGCGCAGGGTCCTGTGTCATTCCTCCACGAAGACGGGGAGCGACATAATGGTGCCGTGACTCGGATATGAAGCCTAGGCAGGGTTTAGTGTCATTCCTCCACAAAGAGGGGGAACGACATAATGGTGCCGTGACTCGGATATGAAGCCTAGGCAGGGTTCAGTGTCGTTCCTCCATGAAGAGGGGGAACGACAACATCTGAAGAGCCAAAGTGACTCCATTTAAAGAAAATAAAATAAAAAGCAGCCTCTGTTTCCCGTAGCAGACCCATATCCTTGTAAAAGGAGGCATTCAGGCATTCTGGAGATATCAAAGCTTACCAAGGACAACTCAGCAGACCAAGGGCAGCTCAGTAGAGATTACCAAATGAGGTAACTCCCTGAACCCAAGCCAAACAGAGACACCCCCCCTCGACTAAGAGCAACCCAGAACAGCCCCACCAATCACCAAAAGCCCCATAACTGTAAACCCCCACTAATGTAACCCTGTGGTTTTTTCCTTTAAAAGTGCTCCCAAACAAAGGCCTGGGTTTTTTCTCTGACCTCCGCTGCGTCAGCTGGTCAGATGAAGTCCCTGCTGCGGCTTGTACTTTTAAAATAAACCTTGCTTTTGCATTTTGGTGTGATCGGGTCGCTGATGGCTTATTGGGGATCTACTTATCTGGGCATAACACATCCAGTTTTGCCAGCATAATTTGTTGAAGAGATTATCCTTACTCCAATTTGTGGTATGGGCATTTTTGTCAAAAATCAGTTGGCTAGGGGCTGATGCCGTGGCTCACTTGGTTAATCCTCTGCCTGCAGCACAACCATCCCATGTGGGCACCGGGTTCTAGTCCTGGTTGCTCCTTTTCCAGTCCAGCTCTCTGCTGTGACCCAGGAGGGCAGTGGAGGATGACCCAAGTGCTTGGGTCCCTGCACCTGCTTGGGAGACCAGGAAGAAGCACCTGGCTCCAGGCTTTGGATCAGTGCAGCGCTGGCCATGGCAGCCATTTGGAGACTGAACCAACAAAAGGAAGACCTTTTTCTCTGTCT